TTCTGCTTGCATAGTAGGCGGCGGCACCACTGAGCTCAATCCCTGGCCCCACAAAACCTGTCTTTTATCACCTATCCTCCATCCTTACTGTTAAAACTCCTTTATTAGTCCTTTAACACAATGCATTCTTTTTCTTTTCTTCTATTTCTTTTTTCTATATTTTCTCTTTCTTTCTTTCTTTCCTCAGTATTATGGATTGAACTCAGAGCTTTCACACTGATCTACACCCCCAGCCTATTTTTTTTTAATATTTCATTTTGAGACAGTGTCTCACTAAGTCACTGAGTTTCCCAGGCTGGGCTAGACCTTGCCATCCTCCTGGCCCAGCCTCCTAGACTGCTGCAATTACAAGTATGCACCATCATCTCTGGCCCAATCAATTCTTAGCCCAACAGCCACCATCTTTGTTGCTCTGCATGTGTTGTTCTGGACCAAATCTTAACCACACCTTTACTGTCACCTGATTTATCCTCACAGTTAGGACATTCCCCAGACCTGGGATAGCTACAGTAAAATGTCCTTTCTTCTCTCCTACTGTGAGTCTACTAAAAACCTGAAATCTGGGTTTAATGGTCTAATGACAAATCCATGCCATCTAACTTTAATTGGACCCTCAGGGCTAATTGCTAATAATTTTACTGATCTCTATAGACTCCCATTGCTTTGAAGCCAAAAATTTCCTTCTCTCTCTTACCAATGTCTCTTCCTCCTAATTTCTTCTCATATCCTAAAGATAAACTGTTAACATCCTTTTTCTGTCATTCAAGTACGTAGTCTTTAAATTTCCTTTTTAGAGGGGTAAACTTGAGTTATTTATAGGAAAATGGATGCATCTCGAGACCATAATCTTAAGTGAAATAAATCAGACACACAAGTTTAAATATCACATTGTTTCTCTTGTGTGAGAAACCCAAAGGATATATAAGAAGCATAATGGAAGATAGATATTGGGAAGTAGCAAGAACATGTTCAAATGGGAAGAGGAACAGGGAGGAGAGAGGGGCAAGGGAAGGAAGGGAAAAGGAAAAAAAAGAATAGAAGGAAAAAATGGAGACAAAACTTTTATAAATGGAGAAAGGAAGAAGGGTTGAAGGGAGGAAAGGGGAATGGGGAAAAAAGAATTAAAATATTATGTACAGGTACAAATTCTTTATGATTGTGATCAATATGTATGACAATTTGTACTAATAAAAAAATAAATTTCCCTCTTAAAAAAACATTGCTAAGATGGCCAGATTACTGAAGGTGATCAACACATTCAGTGCAATCCTCATCAAAATACTAATGACAGTCTTCACAGAACCTGAAAAAAACAATCCTGAATTGCATGTGGAAACACAAAAGATCCTTAATAGCCAAAGCAATCCCAAGTAAAAAACAGCAAGGCTGGAGGCATCACAATACCCAATACTCTGCCAACAGAGATTTACTATCTGGAATATATAAATAACTCAAAATTATAACATAAAAAATGAATAGCCCAAATGAGCAAAGGAATCAGACAAACACTTCTCAAAAGAAGAAATACAAAAAAAAAAAGAAGAAACACAAATGGTCAGAAAGTATATGAAAAAATGCTCAACATCTTTAGCCATTAGGGAAGTGTAAATCAAAACTGCATTGAGATTCTATCTTATCCCAGTCAGAATGGTTTTCATCAAGAATACAGAAAACAATAAATACTGGCAAGAATATGGGGGAAGAAACCCTTCCACACTGCTGGTGGGAATATTAATTAGTACAGCCACTGTAAATAACAGTATAGAGGTTCTGCAAAAAACTGAAACTAGAGCTACCATTTGATTCAGCTATACCACTCCTTGGTATATGCCCAGAGGAATTAAAAGGGATAAAAGTCAGCATACTGTAGAGATCCTGCCTACCCATGTTTATTTATTGAGCACACTTCACAGTAAGATATGGAACTAGCCTCAATGACCATCAGATGAATGGATAAAGAAAATGTGGTATATATACACAGTGGAGTAATACTCAGCTGTCATGAAGAATGAAACTTTGTCATTGGCAGGAAAATGGATGGATCTGGAGATAATCAGTCATCAGGTTGAGCAAAATAAGTCAGACTCAGAAAGACAAATATCACATGTTCTTCCTCATATGTGGACTCTAAAAGTTGTGACCTGAAAGTAGAAGGGGAACTATTAGACAAGAGGAAGAAAATAATGTGAAGGGAGGTTTAAGGGTGGGTAATAGAGGGATAGATATGGTCAAAATATATTATATACATTGAACCCCCCACCATGTGTAACTACAGGGTATGCCAGGGGACAGGAGATGAGGAAGTGTCCAAATGATCCAAGTATGTTATGTGCTTGTACAAATCTTTCAGAATGAGACCCATTAATCTGTATAACCAATATGCCCTAATTCAAATTTTGAAACAAAAACCAATTTTGGATGAATCTACAGTTCAGCTGGTCATTTATGGTGACTGGGCTCAATTTCCACTGATCTTACCAGGGTTGCGCATGCATCTGCTGTGAGCTGGTGGCTAGCTGGCGCTGGTCAGTTGAGGATGGTCTCTGCTCCACAGGACCATGTGCCCACCTGGGGCTGGAGCCTCTGCCATGGCCATGACAGGGTTCTAGAAGAGGTAGGAGGCATACAAGGTCTCCACAAGGACATCCTGCTACAGCAGAGCAGAGCAAAAGAAGGTGGAAAATAAATCTGAAGGAGGATGAAGACAAAACAATATCACAGTGCCAGCCTGTGCCTCCAAATTCTTTATAAAATTTTTGGAAATAGCTCTGAAAGATGTTTTTCACAAAAAACCTCAATAGATCTTGTTATAGATGTGTTGGTCTGTTGACTTTTGAATATGTTATTTAACCAGTGATGAATCTCCCAATAGGTGCTTCCATTCAGACCACATTTTTTCATACTGTTAACAAGGATTCAGTGAAAATTTTTGTCACATTTGATGCTGCAACTAAGAAGTTACCTATAGTTTTCTGAACATAACTGATCAGTAAATGATCATAATTTAATTTGAATGGCAAAGAGGTAAAATAGTGAGACATAATATGAGTGAAATGAAGGCATCATATTTTATATGTAATATGTAAATATTTTGAAATCCTAGAAACACAATAGAAATACTACCTCTTGTTATCTTTAGGTGGTATGAAAATAGTGATTTTCATTTTCACCTTAAACTTTTGAATATTATCTAAAATTTCTACTGTAGACAATATATAATATCATTATCAGAAAAAATATGGCATTTAAATGTTCCCATTTTGTAAGTTTCCTAGGAATTAAAATAGAGCTCCCATTTCCTTCCCTTTGGAAAATTGTAATATTGGTCCATTGTCATTCTAATATTCTCTGAGATGTCACAGTAATCAGAGGGTGACTTGAATCTTTGCTCTTAGTATAACCACTGGGATTTTCATGACTATTTTCATTTTTAAGTTTCCTGGAGCTATGGGATGGCAAGAATAAATAGGATTTTATAGATGTCTTTAGACATCTCAGTATTTATACTAGAAGTAATAAAAAGATAAAGTCTTATGTTACTGGATTGGAAAGCAAGGTAAAATACATCTCAAACAATGATGCCTCTTTGGTAAGGTCACAGTGGACTGTCAGGTTACTGGCCATCAGTTTGGTTTATAGACTTTAAACTCTTACTAGCACTAAAAATCACATGTCACAAGGTGACAACATTTAAGCCACCTAGCATCCTTAAGTGGCTAGTCTGGATGCTAGAAGAAAGTGTTTGATAACAGGCCAACTTAGGGCAAAGGATACAGCTGTGACATTGTGTGAATTAGCTAGGGACACATGTTCCCTAGAGGCAGCATGGTGAAAACCACAGACCCCTTGATCTGCCTCCTGCTGAGAAAGGACTCTTTTCCTCCTCTTGCATCTGAATGGACTGTGGTATGGTTGAGGCAATAAAAGATGACAGACAGGACATTCTAGCTTCAGACTCCCGTCCAGGGAAGCTGGCAGATCGCACTGCCTGTCTCTTGGCACACTCACTCTTAAAAGCCAGCTGCTGAGCCAGGAGAGTCACAGTGCAGGAGAGTTCACATACACATGTGCTCCATTTGAGCGATCCATGGCCACCTCAGCAGGCACATGAAGGAGCTGCAGACTGGCTACGCATGTCATCAGATGATCCAGTTGCATGCAAGATCCCAAGCCAGAGCTGCACAGCTGAGCCCAGGTAGCCCACAGAACCATGAGATGCAAGAATACATTCCTGTTCTAATACACTAAGTGTAGAGATGTTTTAATAAGCATTCACTCAAAAAAACCCTGGAACATGCACCGTTGATAGCAGGTACTATGTACTTGAAACAAAATTTGAAAGTGGTCGCAGGAAACACGATGACATAAGATCTCTGTAGAGCCACCATTTCAGCCAGAAGGAAGTAACAGCTAGGAGAACTTACTGTTCCTGACATCTGTTCCAGTCACATGCAAACAAAATGAACCAAAGACATCAAGAAAAAATAAAAAGACAGTGCTTCACATTTGGAGTTGATGAGAGGCCAGCGTGTGGATGGCACTTAGCTGCTAACTGCAACCCAGAGGCTTGTGAAATATTGTCTTCATTTTCCCCCTCTTCTCTCCCTTCCTCTCTGCTCTCTTCCTCCAATCTGCATGTTGCTTTCCCTCCTCCACATCAGCAGAGCCTGCACATGCCCATGATCTCCTGTGCTGCTGAGAGTGCAGGAAGCACAGGATGAGGCCGCCCAAGCAGGCGTCGCGAGGAGGCAGGTGAGCAGGTGCTGAGGTGAGGGCAGTGGTTGATGGGCCTTGTCCACAGGCCCTGAGCTGCCCAGATCTTCTGCTTACTGCCTTGTGGAAATCACTGGAGCACAGCCGGCCTCTTCCTTACAAATGATGTATTGTGTGGATTTTTGAAATCCGCAACAGCAAAAGCAAGAGATATATATCCATTGTTACACTCAGGCACAGGGTCAGAGTATTACGGGGAGTGTCTCATGATTCTGTTCTGTCTTCAGGCATTCCAAAGTTGATCACGCCTGATATGGTTAAAGAAGATGCTGTAGTGATTGACGTGGGCATCAACTACATCTGCGATCCAATGACAGGAAAGACAAAATTAGTTGGCGATGTGGACTTTGAAGGTAAGAAACAAAATCTCTTTTGATAAGTGAAAGGAAAAAATCCTAACTTTCGTGCTTTGATAGACAGATAGTAGAGAGAGACCATTTCTATTTGGTGGGGAGATGAGAATGGTAATGACCATCCCCTCTCTTCTCTTACAGAAGTGGTTTGATGGTCCTCTCCCTCCCTCCATCCATCCCTTCTTTTCTTCTCTTCCTTCCCCCCTTCAAATTGTAATATTTGGCTTTTGGATTAAATTTCTTATAGTGCAGTTTTTAGTGAAAGAATTTAGCTGGCCCTCTGTAGACCTGTGTGTTATTCTGACATTTTGGGAGTGTTCGCTTAGCTATACTTAACCATATACTTGACCCAGTGCTGGGCCAAGACAGTTGTCTGTGAAATTGAAGCTGATGTTCTTCCCTTGTGCCTAAAGAAGATGAAGAAGAGGACTTAGGCCCAAACTTCCATGGCTAATGAGGCTTTAAGACAGCAGTGTGTAGAGGTAAAAAGAGGAGCTCTAACCCGTGACAGATATGTTTCTTAGATGCCTGGCCCCTAAACCAGTTTTACATAATCTTTGTCAGCTTCTTAACCTACATTTGGGAACCTTAGCTACCTACAAAGGTATGAAGATAGTAAAGTGTGTGGAGACATTTTCATATTGGAAATATTTTATGCATAAGACTGACTCTGGCCAGAAAAGGCAAGGGCTACATCAAAAAATTATTAGTGACAGGCATATCACAACCTCACAGACAAACTAAAAGAAATTGGCAATGAGATTTTTAAAACTCAGATTTTAAATTTTCACTTGGAATCTGATAACCATCCTGGCATGGTGTTGAATAAAGTTGAAAATTGCGGACAGCCAGAAGTGTCCTAGGATGTTAACCCCACATACATGAGATTCTGGGGATAACAGGGGTCAGATCCAGATCAGGAGTTTAAGCCTGGTGGTCAAAGACGTACGTGCGGCACAGGTGTGTGTACGGCCCAGCACAGGCACCATCTGCACAGCATGCATGGAGGCCGCATGGAGCCCGTGTGGGCTCAAATTCACAGGGGCTCAGCACTGGCTTAGATTCTCACAGAATGACCTGGTCTCTTTATTTGACTTTCATGTTCCCTCTGTCCAGTGAGTAGTAGTACTTTATTTGAACTTCTTAACTCCACTGAGTAAAAATGTATTTCATCTGAAAACCTGACTTGCGGCACTACTATTCTGTTTCTTGGGAGCATTGTAGCTCCTAAGAGTATAATGCAGAATCACATAACTGAAGCACACAGATGGTGCTGACAGCATTTGGTGAACCTCTTGGAGCTTTCAGTGACACAAACAACCTGCTGTGGCACATGTGCCATAAGCTTGCCACAACTGGCATAAGGAAACCTGCTCAGAGAGAGCAGAGCAGGGATGTGTGCAATGCCCACCCTTGATGGCATCTGGGGCAAGCTTGCCCTGTGGCTCACCGCACTCATTTTCAGGCTCTTGCTGTGTAGCTCAGGCTGGCCTTGAAGTCACTATGTAGCACAAGCTGGCCTCAAACTCATGGCGATCCTCCTGCCTCGGCCTCCCAAGTGCTGGGATTATAGGTGTGAGCTACCACACCCAGCCATGCTCACCACATTTATAGGGTTCTTCACTTGTAGAGTATTTCTGTGGTCTCAGATCATTTCTGTGGTTTCTTTTTTACTGAAAATAGGTTCGCTCCTGAAGGTATTCAGAAAACATTTTAAAAATGAGTACCTGGGAGTGGGTGTGTATGCTTCATAGCACACACACACATATGCTCTTCCAGTTGCATACTGCTCAATTTGGAGAAATCTGTCAAACCAACTGTAGTTCTGTGTATCTGAGTGTGTAATAAATGTTTTATGAAAAGGAAATGGCAAGAGAAAAAAGCTATAAGATGAACAGGAAAGAGCTTTGGGCTGGGAAACGGAAGAGGTTACCCTAGACAAAGCACTGTTGCCCAGAAGCTTTGCTACCCCACTGGCCATCAGTGTTTCATTCATTACGTTTTTAAAAGATAACCATTTTAAAAAGGATCTCTCATTGCCAGCTAATACATATTCATATGTATTCTGGAAAATTCAGAAAAGTAAAATGTCAAAATCGCCAGAAATCCCAGTGGCTTGCTGACCTGGTGCTAACCCAGGCCCCTGCTGGGTCCTCTGTGTGGGCATCCGGGATGGATCTGCAGCCCTGGGCAGCCCCCTGCACCATCCTGATGGTCTGAATGATCCAGGGCAGGTCTTCCTGCACTCCAGTGTCCTTGTCCTAACAGAACCAGTGCCTGCCTTGAAGAAACAGGATGAGGGTGATATATTCATGCATAGCTGAGAATTCTTTGCCTGCAGCGAGTCTCTAGAAATGAGTAGTGAGCTGGTTCACTTGTATGCTATTTTAAGGCTTTTGACAGATACTGCCAATTCTCCAGAAGGGTTTTGCAAGCCTGTAGTCCTACTAGCAGTTTATATCCATTCATTATGTATTTGTTTTAACTATTACTATGGGGTTTTTTTTGGTACTGGCCATCAGTGATACTAGTGTCCCCTTGTCCTGGGTTCACATTCCTGTTACACTCAACCAGGAAATTATCACTGAATCATCTGACATCATTGCAGAAAAAGGGATGAGCACAGTGCAGTAAGGTATCCTAAGAGATGGGGACCACATTCCCATAACTGTTAACTGGTTTCTATGGCTATAATTGTTCTGTATTCTTATTAGTTATTGTATTAGCATCTTACTTTCCCTGGTTTGTACATTAAACTTGATCTTGGGTAGGTATGTACAGGAAAGAGCATACTGTACAGACAGCCAGGACTGTCTTCAGTTTCAGGTGTCCACTGGGGTCTCAGATCACACCCCACAGATGAGGGGGCCCATGATACAGGGCTTTCATGTTTGGTGAGTCCTGGACATTGAGTAGAGTGCTACCAGACAATCTCGTGAAAGCACAGAAACTCCTGGAAGGAAGATCACAGCTTTCTGCTTTCATCATGAAATATACCTCCATAATTATTGGTACTTTTCCTGCTGCCCGGAGTGTTTGTGGAGCCAGCACACTGAGGAGGGTCGGTGGGGTAGAGGAGAACTTGCCTGTGAGGCCGGGCGTGACTCAGCCACCACTGAGGAGCAGCAGTGCAGGTTCTGACAGGCTGCTGTAGGTTGTTGTCAGGACTTCACCTGGGGTGAAGGACAATCACCTACCAGGAGAGAGAGGGACTTCAGCCTGGGCTCTGTTGCAGACTCATGGGGAGCCACGGGGCAAGTGTGGCTGCTCTGTATCAGTGAAAGTTTCACTGTATCTGCTGCTAAGATCAATAAAACGGGTATGGGTGAGAGAAAGACGTGGAAGTAAATTGTGGTGGCAGAGTCACTGGCTTCTTAGTAGAAGAAACTGGGCAGCTCAGGTACAGGAGAGCCCATCGATGGGAAAGATCCATCAACCGAAGCGCTGGTGTGAACCTTCACTGCAGGGCCTCTCGGAGATGCCCACAGCACTGAATGCGCAGAGGGCGGCACTCCGGAGCCAGCATAGTCAGAAGGCAACCTGGGAATGTGTCATGGTAGAAAAAAGATGCGGAGAGGAAGGCAAGCACCATAGTCACTGTTCTTGATAAAATAATTCAATCCTAGTGTTTCTGCACTTTATGTGCACTAAGTGAATGTTAGTTTTATTATTGCTTTCAACTCTATTTATAAGTCATACTAGGAGGACTTTAAATGTTTTCACAAATTTATTAAAGATCATTGAGCAAGTATAATTTCTCCCATTGATTACTAAAGTTGCTTTGCACACTTGCACAGTCACTCTTATGGTCTTACATTCCTGTGAAACTGAGCACTGCTATCTTTAAACCTAATAAAATACAATGAAATTAGTGGTCATGTAGCTCAAATTCACATCCAGTGCCATAACCATTCTATGACTTGGTTCTTCAATTTGTTTTATCACAGCAATTTCTTGCTTTATTATTATTATTATTATTTGAGACAGGATCTCACTGTGTAGTCCAGGCTGGCCTTGAACTCTCAGCAATCCCCCTGGCTTGGCCTCCCAAGTGCAGGGATTAAAGGTGTGTGTTCCCATGCCTGGCTTCTTGCTATTATTATTGCAGTTCTATCCATGCAGGTATTTCAGTATTGGAGGTATTGTTTGCTTAGCACTTTTCTACAGTATCACATATGGGTGCCTTTTCTTCATATAGCCGCGAGTTGGACTTTTCCTCAATTCCATGTTCCTCTCTGGGCCCTTAGAAGAACAAATAGAGCCTTGCCATAGGCATACCACAGAAGTGCTAGTTTGGTTCAGTATTGATCCTCAGAGAACTCAAGATCATTCTGGCCACTGACAGATACTTATCATTACCTTCAATTACCTGAACAAACCTCCCCCTCCAATTTAAGAAGTTCAAAGAAGAAATAATTTAAAAGTATCTTTTAGAAAATTATTTTTATGTCTAAGAGTTGTTTTCATTACCAATAATTATGGAATGAATGATATATTTGAACATTTTAGATTTGCTCAATAGATTAAGGAATTTTAATAGTGGGACACACTTGCTTTCACCTATGATTTCTCCTTACCATTCTGTGGTGTGACTTTGGAAAAGGCTTCATACACTTCCGACAAGAAGCCTGTATTCTCGAGAGCTACACGTGGAAGTTACATGGTATGGGTGGCTGGGAGATTCTCCTGTGTAAAAAGCTGGAAAACAGTCTACAGTGCTGGACTCCGAAGCTCGTACTCGCACTGCTTTATAGCAGCAGTTTGCCAAATGGATGTGGTCAGCTGCACAGTCAAATTAATGATTTCCTCTGCTGCTACAGCAGTCAGCACTGCTCCCATTGGTGAACCCCGGGCCTTGCTCACACTTCACACCCAGATGTTTCTGTAATCCTTTGAAGCTTTAATAGCTTTGCCTCAGTTTTATGATGCATTCCACAGGGAGGGAGGTGGAGTGCAGAGAACTGGAATGTCTGCTTCCTGCTGCCCCTCCCTTCTCTTGGTCTTCTGGTCCCCTGGTCCCCTCCAGCCTCTTTGCTGCTCTACACCAAAACAAGGGGAGGGTGCCATGCCACAGAGGCCTGGGAAAGGGAGCAGGGAGGGGAGAAGGGGAAGGGTGAGAGGCAGTGCTCCCAGGGCAGTGGGGGCTCATGTCTAACAGCAGATGTCCTCTCTGAGGCATGGAGAGGATCATAAGAGAGGAAGAAGACCAAGCACATTCCACTGCTGATAAAACTGATTTACCTTATACAAGTAAGGCAGCCACATTTTATGGAAAGTCTACCCTTCTAACACAACTGATGCTATTATGAAGGGTTTTCCTTTCTATAGCTGCTCCCAGAGGTTGTGTGTGCATATGTTTTACATAGCTTGAGGGATATATGACTTGTGTATCTATGCCTTTATCAACCATTTTTCATGCTAAGGTTATAGCACATAGTTATGTTCAGCGAATGTAATCATAATTTGCTTCACCTTTCTCTCTTACACAATGCTTGGAATGTTTCCATTTTTCCCACAAGTATTATGTTTGAGTGTAGGGTAAGCTGCATGACAAAGGGACACCTAACCCACAGTTAGGCAGTTAAGGGAGGTAGGCAAGTCTCTTCATTCCAGGTACTTTCTCGCCCTTTTTAATGTCTGTAGTTTTTTGCTTGAGCTTTCATAACAAAACATGACATCATGGCTTAAAGAGCAGAAGTTTATTTCTTACAGTTCTGTATGATAGAAGTCCAAGATCAGGGGACCACAAGGGATTAGTCTTTATTCTTTCTCCTTGACAAATAGATGTCCGTCTTTTCCCTGTATCTTTATTGTCTTCCCTCTGAACATGTCCATATCCAGATTTCCTCTGCTTCTAATGACATCATCATATTGGATTAAATCTTAATATAATAACTTCCTTGTAACCTGTCTTCACTTTTAAAGACTCCACCTGCAAATACAGACACATTCTGAGGTGTTGGGTCTAAGGACATCAGTCTAAGAATTTTGGGAGAACACAATTTAGCCCCTAACATTGTTCCACCTGAGCACGTGGTCCTCATCGGCACAGCAGATGTGAAATGGTGTGTAGGAGGGTTCCCCTTTAAGAAAGTCAAACTGAGAGTTAGGTGATCACTTCTGCTATATCCTGTGGGCCTGAATGAGGTCAGATGTGGGAGTAAAAGGGATGTGGAATCCAAAGTTTGGAGATGGGAAGCCATTCTTGGGTGACACATAACCCGCCCTGTACATAAGAATGTGAAGGCTACTGTCTTACTTGGAGGAAAAAGACTAATCTCTTATTTTTCATCCAGTAACTATACACCATTCAATGTACATGTTCTGCATTCATGCAGTTGCGAGGACAATGTTATCACTGTCTGTTTGCTTTCTGGTTGGCTTCGAAGTGCACTGCACTTAGAAATTTCCTGCAGAGTTCATGGATGCCCTCTGTCAGAAGCCATACATTACCGCTGAACTTTCTGTAAGTCAACATATAGAGAATTGCAATAAAGTTTGTATAGAGAGTATGGCCTTATCTGAATGTCTTCATTTCTGACTAAACTCAGTTTATTGTTAAATCATGGATAGATATTTGACTTTTTGTCCACTTTATTCAATTTTGTAAATTATAGGATCACTTTCCCGTGAAGTTACTATAAAGGCTCAGTGTGAACTTGAACACAATAGGGAGAGAGCCATGTGGACATAGGAGACAGGAGCCTTCCAGACAAACAGCAGCTGGTGCAGAGACCTTGACAGGGACCCTACTCGATGGCTTTGATGAGCTGCAAGGGGGCACTGTAACTAAACACAGTAAATTAAGGGGGAAATTGTAGGTGAAATGTTAAAGAGGGAGCAGCTGGGGTGCCACATCATGAAGGGCTGGATAGACCATGGAAAGCAATCTGGATTTTACTCTAAGCTCAATGGATAGTCACTGGAGGATTTGGGCAAAGAAGCAACACTTCATTTGTATTGTAACAGGATCACACCAGCTATTGAGTGGTGTGCAGGCTTTGTACAGGTGAGGATGTAAATCAGGGTACCAGCTGAGAGGCTATGTATAATTATCCAGGTAAGAAATGATGGGGCGTGGACCAGGGTGGTAATGGGTGAAAGTTTTAAGGGGTGGTTAGATGGTAGATATAATTTAAAAGGGGAGTTGGAATGATTGGTTCCATGATTACATATGAGAGAAAAAGAATCAAATCTGACTGTAAAGGTTTTAGAACAAGCAGGAGTAGAGATGGCAGTTCTACAGTCTTAAAGGATCAATGGATTTCACTCAACTATGTATATTTAGGCTGGAGAGTGGGCAGAGGGGATGAAGATGCTCTGCTAGGTGGACAGAATAGCAGATAAAAGCAAAGTGGGAAAAATGTAAAAGGCCGTATGTACTTTGTGATAGATCCAGCATAGTTTACCAAAGGAGAAAAGTATGATGCAAATAGTTGTGAGTGTGCCCCCAAGTAGCTAGAGTCTTACCTGGCATATTTTAGAACTCCCACTGGGGAGGAAATCTCTCCCACAGAGGAACCATGCAATCTGGAATTCTATCTGGAAAGAAGAATCTTTCAGTTTCTGGCCCCATAGTAAACATGAAGACAGGAGAGAGAGATTCTGGAATTCTGTAGCAACCCAGCATCATTTACCTAAGAAAATACTGTATATGAAGCAAAACCCCCAGAGTGGCTTTTAAGATGTTTGACTTATGTGTTATGTGTTATGTAGTGATGGGTTCACTTTCACTCCTTTCTCTTTTTATCTTACGTCTAAACTTTCATGAAAGACCACTCTGGAGTCAGGCTGGCTTGGGTTTGAATCCTAGCTCTGTCCCTTCAAAGAATTATGATCTTAGGTAAGTCATTTAACCTCTCTGAGACTTGATTTTATCATCTGAAAAACTGAGATAATAGTACCTATCTTATAAAGTTGTTGTGAAGAGTAAATGAAATAATCACCTCCCCTGAGCTAATTAATGTATGTGAAGTGCTGAGCCTGATGGTTGGCAGAAGACATTGTGTGCTTGTGTCTGTAACTAGAAGTTTACAGCTTCGCACTGCAGTTACCACCATGCTTCTCATTAGTTTCCTGTCCCCAGTTCACCTCAGGTTCTGTTTGTCTTCCACTCAGCTGTCCTATGAATCAACTTTAAAGCATTCACATTTACTCCTTTCTTCCCCAAACTCCTCTAGCAGGATTCATCTGCCTTCATGATTCTGTTCTCAGTACCATGCCACCAGTGTACTTTCACTGAGTTGTTCCCCACCAAACTGCACACTTCTGCTATGTGAGCATCGTGTCCAGTTTCTTTTTCCTTAACATGACACACCAGGTCTCAGAATTCATACACTACCAGCCATTTGTATAAGCACCTTCTGCACTTCTACATCTGTAATGTCACTCTTATTCTAGAGAAGTAACTTCCCTAGAGTTGCCCTAATGGGAGCCAATGCTTCCACTGGATGTAGCAGCAAATGCAGTATTAACCTACAATAGTCTATGCAAGGCTCCAGATTCAATCCCCAGCATAATAAGTAAATTGCAGCGGCCCATATCCATTACTGATATACCCACTCACCGGTTGTTGCATTGATTTACTCAGCAGATAGTGTGTGAGTGGGGCTTGATGGTGGGCACCATTCCAGCCACAGGGGATAAAGTTGTGCACATAGAGTACCTGGAATTCACACTTTCTGTATTATGTCAAAATCAGCTTCTTTGGAAAGTGTTTTTGGTACTTCATACCTGGTATGTGTTCTACCACATGGGTAAAGTAAGAACATGTTACCGGTTTCTCAGGAAACAGGACTGTTTTGAACTGTATTACTTTTATAGAACTATTGATCTGTGATATTGTAAAGAACTAAATTACCAACTCAGCTTTCAGTGGTAATCATTTAGTTTGTTGACATGATTGCAATTGGTCTGATTCACACTGTCAGCATTTTACAGTAGATGAGTGTATGTGGCCCCAAAGTCTAGCTTTAATATATAGGAAGACTAATGCTTCAACCTAGAACTAATCTGTCTCAATCACTGAAAAATTTGATGGAAGTTGCAAAAGAAATTCTCTGGGAGAGACTGTCACTAACCCTGTGGTTACAGTACCCACACAGGTCATTTCATCACCGGAACAAGAACAGTGTCTGATACCTGTGAGTTTCTTTTGTTCTTACAGTACAATGAGAACCTGTGGTTGTTCTCAGCATCCAGTGTTAAAATACAAATATCTATGTGAGAAAAACTTCACCTCACATCTCGGGTTGATTGTGGCAGACTGCTGAGATCAAGGCCCTGCCAAGAGATTTGGAGGTTATCCAAATAGCCTATCTATTGTGGATTTGCCACTTTGAAAAATGTCCAGTGGCTTGGGACACAGGGTTAGGAGGGAAAAGAAAGGATTAGGGAAGATGACAGGAAATTATCACACTGGGTTTTTTAAAGACTGTATGAAACAGAGAAATGTTTTGTCATTTCCTCAGATGTTTATAGGGTTACCAGAAATGCCATAGCAGTGTTCTTATGCCCATCAGCCAGAATGGAAACAGGCAATGTAGCTGCCACCGTTCATGGTCACCACTGATAAGTGATAGAGTTTGCAGGAAGCAATGCCAACTTTTACCAGGTGACTGATTTGCTGTTTTGCTCCACTAAAGGTTTTCTATATGGTATGTTTTTCGATACTCACATCATGGATGCAGGAACCAAGTATGTGGAGATTTTATTTGATATAAAAGCAAAAATAAAGAATGAAGCTTTGATAAAAGACTATGCTGTGAAGTCAAGCTGACTTGGGTTTGAATCCTAGCTCTGTTGCTAAACCACAGAGTGCTTTAAAAGCAACACGCTCCACTGTGAAAAGGAAGGGAGGGAGGCAGGCAGACTTAGCCGTCCTACAGATATAGACTGGCAAAGAAGTCCTTCTAATATAGCTCACCAACCTAATAAAGCCAACATAATGCGTATAGAAATGTAGACCACAGCCTTCTGCTCTTTTATCCAATCTGGCAGTAATCTTCCCTCATTACTGGCCACCAGATGCCAGGACAGTGAACACCTTATGAGTACACATAGGAAGCTTGTGACCAATCAGAAGCCAGACATGCAGGTGAAGGCAGGAGGAAGCAGTCAACTGCCTGATTCCTGGCTCTTGCAAGAGTGCAGTGGCCAGTGGTCACCTGCTAAGGGGTCCTCTGCCATCCGGTCCCTTGTTCTCTTAAGCATCCCTCTTATGCCAGGCACCTGAGAAAGTGGAGTGTCTTCCCTCTTACCTCCTGAGTCATCCTGTTTCCCCAGACCTGTGCCATTCAGGTTTTTCTGGTTGTTATTCCTGTACTCATTTTTCTGAAGCCTGTCTCCCCTTCATTACTGTGGATATATTTGCAAGGCTGTGCCTAAGTGGTTTGCATTTAGCAGCATGGGAAAATTCCCTGAGCATTTAATTGAGCCAATTACACATCTACACTGAGAGGCCAGAATCCACAGGAAAGAAGCAAGACAGTTTTGTTCTGCTGCTTTGCTGCAGGTTTAGGGAATCACCCCTCTCCTCTTTGGAAAAGGAACTTGGTTTCAAAGATTAGTTGAAAAAAAGAATTAAGATGTGTTATGTTTATGTACCAACTTCCCACAAGAAATGTTAACATTATGTACCATCCACATGTGCTAATAAATGACAAAAATTAGTCTTTGGATTGTCTGAAATCTGACACAGGCCATAGAGTGACAGAGAGTCAGTCAAAATAGAGAAATAATGCTAGGAACTTGAGACATTTTTATCCTCTTCTATACTCAAAAATAGATTTATAGAGGACAATATATTCTTTGATTTTTTTTTCAGAATTCAGCTCACAAAACTTATTAGCAAAATTAATTGTTTGGATACATTTAGAAATTTCATTCTGGGAAATTTGGAGTGGTATATAATGCATAGACAAAGAAATTCACTGCCAAGCATTAGAGAATATTCCGCACAGAATGTGTTAGATAAGAATATGGATCTTTGAGTGCCAGACCAGGGGAAGTGGACACACAGTCTCTAGAGGAAGTGATGACAGGGGACACAAATTGGGGACACCCAACCATGGAGGTCAGGGGTCACAAGTTTTTTTCTTTCTTTTTCAGTGTTAAAGGGTATTAGCATTCTTTGCATCACTATCAGCATCCTCTGAGAGCAATCTTCCACGCCCTGTAACCACAGGTCACCCATGAATTTTTTTGAGGCACTTTCATGGGCCGAGCACCTACCCTCTCTCATCATCCCTGTCATTTCTTCACTTTACAGGTGGAATACTCTTTGTTCCATGCCTGTGGTTTTTATTTTGATACAGGAAAATATTTTTTCCACTTTTAAGAATCATGGAAATGATGTCCACCAAGACAATCTTCCTTTAGAAATCTGAGGCCAATCACAGAAAAGTCAAGTAGCCATCCATCTAGTGGGGAACAGTGGGCCTGCAGGTTGGATATATGTTCCAGCTGGCGACATTTCTTAAAGATTCATCTAACAATAGGCAGCAGCCTGAAACTTCATGAAAATACAGGATGACTTTCTCTTTTAATTTTCTTCTAAAAAGTATTAGTGACTATCCATTTTTCTCTCAAATTTTTCTTTTACAAAACTTTCCTGAATACACAAATAACAGTTCATTCATAAAAGACTTTCTTAGAAGCTTATTCACTGTGAATACAATAATGACAGATGGCCCAGCTCAACCTCAGTTCCTCTGTCCTGCCTCAGGGTCACACCTCTTAGGCTGTTTTTGTCATGCACTTCTGTCTTCATGGACTCTTTCCACTCCTTGCTGCTCCGCCCCTCCACTCCTCCATTACATCAGAGTCATTGTCGAGCTCAGACTGCCTTGCTTTTCCTCTTTCCTATGTCAGCATTGCTTTCTCCTTCACCTTCTTTGCCCTGTGTGGACCCTTCAGGTTTGGAAGATTTTTTGCAAATCTTTCCCCAACCCCGTATCTGGTTTCTGCTCCCTCTTCGAAGTACTCTGATGAGATCCTGAATTTATTCTAACAACTGCATCTCTCCTTCCCTGATCTCCACGAGACAGAGTCCCTTCATTAGAGAAGTGTGCAAACACAAAACACACGTTTCCAGTTTGTTCTCACCCTGTCTCAAAATGTGTTTTCCCAAATGTTGACAAAGCCATTGCTATTAGTTTACAATCCCCAAATGTTGGCGTTGTAATGCAGGCTCTACCTCCCTTGTCTCCCGCAGCCCTGCCCTTCACTCCCATGTGTCAGCCACTGGTCTTGAGACGTTTCCCAGAGTTCAAGCTTCCTTCCACCTCGAGGACCTTCTTGCCACCTTTACCCCAGTGCCTCCTCTGCTGAGAACACCATCCACTCCCCACTCCTCTGTGTCCCATGGAAAGTGGCAGAGCTGGGTCTGTCACACGTTTTGTACAGTGCTCAGGCTCCGGTACATTCTCCATATGATTCACTGTGTAATATTTTATTTCATTTGTGGCACACATCATAGCCACAGCTCATTATTTTTTAGGGAATTATATTTTCAATGTGTCTCCCCAACTGAACTGTAAGCTACAAGATACAGTAACTATCTCTCTTGCACAAGAAATACTTATTCTGAATCTATTTGGGCTGGTTTTTTTAGCATATATGGGAACAATGATCATCAGATATAAGATCAGGACATGATGCAAGGCAAAGATGTTGGGCCAGACAACAGGTTATAAAGAATCTGGATGACCATGACTAATAATTTGTATTTTATCCCAAAGATTGTGAAGATCCAATAAATGTTTATAAGCTGAGATGATCAAATCTGTATGTTAAAGAATAAATGTGGCTGTGTGGCTGATATGGTTTACTGGGAGCCAAAGACATAGTAGATTACACGAGTAATGGGCATAGTATGCACACACCTTTGCAGTGGGACTTTGCCCCTTTTTTACCCTGAGTGTTTGAGTTTCAGCCCTTGAGACTCCATTTGAACAGTGAGGCATTAGCATCTGCAAGGCAGGCAGAGTTGGGAGAACCGTCTGCATGGTGGGGACTGCCTGGGACTTTGCTGGAACCTGAGGCCACCCTGCAAGGCAGCCTCACTGCAGCAGTGAATCTCAACCATCTATAAACTTCCCCCAGCTTGGTTATATGTGCAGCGCTACTCTTCTAGCCTTAGTTAGAAATATCTCTGACTTAGGCAGTGATCTCAGGGGGGCAACCAGAGTCCTGAATCAAGGGAGGCGAATGTCATTTAACCACTTTTCATAGGGGAGCTCAACGCACTCTGTACCTACACATGGAAAGGGACTGTAAGTTTCATGGACCCGTGAATAAACAGCCACCTCAGCCTGGGGGTTAATGGGTCCATGAAGGATGTAACCTCTATGTTAGATGTAGGCAGGAAGAACACATGTTCACCAGGACGCCATGTAGAGAGAACAGTATGTGCAAAGCAGACTGCACAGCATGACCCAGGGAACCCATGTGAGTGACACTGTTACCTAGTTTGCAAAGGCTTCACCCAAATAAATTCTCACAGGAATTAACTGCCTCAGAGATTATTAAATTAAATAACTCAGAGATTATTACCGAGCCATTTCCCTCTAAGCCTCACCCCCACCCAGGGCAAGCTCCACACAGGGAGTAGGATTTGATGAGTGTTTTCTTTGCCTAGAATGTCAACTTCAGGAACTCAAATGGATAAAGACCTGATGGAATTGAACCCAACCCTGATTCCTCTATGTGTTCCTTCCCCTCTTAGGAAATTTCCCCTTTCAGTCAGGAACAATGCCTGGTTCTCACGTGTGCAGATCTTGTGCTACTTCCCTTAAGCACAGGCTCACATACTCCTGACCCCAGAGCCCTCAGAAATAAATCTTTAAAGGAAATCATTGCCCTATCACACTTCTGTGTTCTCTCCAGTAGGGCATATAGAATACTTTCCCCCAAACATAATAGGGTTAATCTTTAAAAGCATCATCTTCATAAACAGGGCAAACCCTCTCTGCCCTGAGGGAAAGATCAGCCAGTGAGGTTATTCTAATGATTTAATGCTTGTTATCTTCCTCTCTTTTCCACATGACTGAGGAAGGTGTTTTTTAGAGCATGAAGCAGGAACTGAACTGAAGTCTTTCTCCCATGACTAATTTCAGCTCTTCAGCCACCTCTGGTACTTCCTAAGCCCTGAAATGGTTATGCCAAAGCATTAGACTAGAGACTTTTTATTTCTTTTTATTAAATATAGGGTCTTGCTGTATTTTCCAGGTTGGCCTGGACTCAGGTGATCCTCCTGCCTCAGCCTCCCATGTAGCTGGGACTACAGGTGTGCACCACCCCTCCTGGCTGAGAATTTTTTAAAGCATTCACTTCATCCATCAGCATTTGCTAACAATTATCTTTTTGGAAAATCATTTACCAGTACTTCCATATCCTCATATTTATATAAAAAGACAATACATTAACACTAGCCTGCAGCACATAAACTTAAATATTTTCTCAGACAAAGGTACTCGGGAAAATTAAGTAAAAAGGAATAAAGAAGAGCAGAGGATGTAGGTCATTGGTAAAGCACCTGCCTAGTATATGCAAGACCAGGGATTCAATCCCCAGTACTACAAAAATGAAAGAAAGGAGGGAGGGAGAAGAATGAAGACCTAATAATATTCATCACCTAATCAGATGCATCAGTGTTTACCTCTTGTGACCATGTACAGACTTTACCTTCATATTTATACACTTGATTTCAACATAAAAATACTTGAAATAGGGCTGGGGATTTAGCTCAGTGGCACCACACTTGCCTCCCAAGTGCAAGGTCCTGAGTTCTATCCCCGATACCAAAAAAGAAAAAAACAAAAAACTTGAAATAATGATTTGAATAAGCAGCTGTGCTCACAGTGATGTCATAGTCATCTGCCTGCCAAATGATGCACAGGGCTCCACCTATGCTGCTCAGTGCTTATGACCCAGAGCCAGAGCATCCCCAGCCCCAGTCAGGCGAAGCCTTGTCCCAGCACAGTCTGAGTCTGGGAAGAGCAGGAGCAGGACAGGGGATGTGTGTTGCTTTCCACCAGGGCAGTGTGCAGAAACAGACACTGAGCTAAGGATTTTAGACAAGTATTATTTCATGCAACAGTTCATTTCCATCCTCTTATCCTCCAACTAAGCCTTGCTTTTTAAGTATGAATGCAATAGAAAGCATGTAAGAGAATCATAACGTGGAAGGGCAGGGTCATGATACCTGCAGGCCAATGTTTTTTGTGAGCTGACACCCAAGGAATATAGCAAGGCAGGCTGTTAAGCCCGCTGTGTAACTGGAGTGCCACAGCTGGAATTCAGGGCTGCCGAGCTGTGAGCGCCCACAATGAATGTGCAAGGAAACGGATCTTACAACTGCTCCTCTTGTGTCTTCTCTCAGAAGATCCTCCTAACCCTATGAGAAAACTGAGTCAATTTCTGGCACTTGAGCTATTCTTGGGGTTCTTCTCTTTGTTCAGGTCATGATAATACAGCTGTGTGGAGATGGAGTGAAATTGTAGAATCCTAGCATCTTTCAAACCTGCCTGTGAAAGATACTTCTCTCATGTGGGAGAGTGATAAGTCACACAGCTTCAGTGAGCCACACTGTTCTCTTGTGCTAACATAAATAATAATTAAATTATTCCAATAAGACAGATAAAGCCCAATGTGGTAAATAAAAAACAAAACAAAACCTGTACTCCCAGCTACTCCAGAGACTGAGCAAAAGGATCACTTGGATCCACAAGTTTATGATCAGCCTGGGAAAAACAAAAATAATAACATATGTGCTTTTGTCTAGTAATAGTCACTCAACTAGTAGCAGGCATGGTTGTTTGCTATTTTTCCATATACAAATAATATCCAAGGCACTTTACCTTTCAAAGTTGAAAACCAATCTATATAAAAACAATTATATACTCACAATGGATCTCTTGCTATAACTAATTTTATTCTACTCTGATTTAAAAATAAAAAATTTTGTTTTCCATGAAAATTAATTTTATACTTAATTCCCAATTTACCATATTAGTCAGTAGTATTTTCTTTTTATGTTTAATATTTCAAAGTTATTGCTTTACAGATACCTAACTTTGTATACTATTGGTGTAAACAGTAGTGGTACATTTCCTCAAAGTCCCTGTTTGCGTTTTAAAGGCATGATGTCTGCAGTGTTTAGGAAAGGGTCCTCAAGGCATTACTCATGCCACCAAGCCCTCTTACTGAAAAGGGAAAAATGCAGTTTATCCCCACAAGCAAAACAAAGAGCTTGAGTTATGCAGTAAGTTACCTTAAAAACACTGATATTGTTTATTTCCAGTCAAAATCAGGAGGATGCTTCCACAAATTAGTTTTAGATTTTAAATAAGGGCTGTTTTCATTTACTTTTTGGAGCGCCTCTCCTGTGCGAACAGAGTCGGTAAGACTGCAACTCTAGCAGCAGACAGGGCAACCTGCTCCGGCCCCACAGGCGGGTGAGAGAGCAGAGAGTGCAGTGGGTTCTTTGAATTGCTGGTAACTAACTGGGCCACTCATGGGTTATAACTTTTCATCATGGAAAGCTAGCTGAGCTGAATGAAGGTAGAACTGATAGTCTTGACCCCACTGTGTTCTTTCTGTACCTTAGATATCATGACATGGGCATGTCTGAGTGAGTGTGTGTGTGTGTGTGTGTGTGTGTGTGTGTGTGTTTATTACAGTCCCCTTTATCCTAAAAATAACTGGAGCTTGTTAGAATTGTATGTGTAATGCAGAACTCCCTATAGTAGTAGTGGCAAAACTGTGCCACTCGTGTTGTTTTTCTTTTAAGACAAGAGATGTTAATGTATGAGTTGTTTTTTCCTAAACTAAAACCTCAGTATTCAGGTTTAACTGCAGTGTTGGCACTTTGCGATAAAGAAGCGGGTTTGGGTTGCAGTTTGGGTGTTCGTCTCTAGAAGGTTCGCTATCACTGGTCTATAGGCAGCATTTGCAAACATGCGAAACTCGCGTAAATTTAGAAATGAGCACTATTTTCTGTCTCCTCTCTCAGCTGTAAGGAAGAAAGCTGGCTTTATCACTCCAGTCCCCGGAGGTGTGGGGCCGGTGACGGTGGCGATGCTTCTGAGGAACACCCTGCTGGCGGCTCAGAGAGTCATCTACTAGGTCACAGGGGAGAATAAAGCAGCCGGGGAACTCACAGTGCTCGTTTATTTAACACGCAGCAAAAATGTTTCTACTTTACCACGAAGCTATTTATTTCTACATTGTCTATTTTCTCATGGATGGAACCATCGTGGAGGAGATGATTCACATAATTTTGTGCATTTGCTGCCGACAGATGTGGAGTTTTAGGAAAAACCAAAACAATTTAAATGAAATTTTATTAATCATTTTATGGATGTTTGTTCATAATGTTAAAACAATAAAAGGTTCATAGTAAATATATTTTTGACATAATGCGATATCACCCACACTATGTTCTAACAAATGTTGTATCAGCCAGATGTGCACCCACATGAAATGTAATTTAAGTTTTACCATAAGCATAATTAGTTGATACATTTCATGTTTTATGTCAAATACTGAAAAGGAGCTATAGTAAAATAAATCTTGATCTTAGGTAGCTCCCAGATGCAACCAACAAGGGCATCCTAATGAGAAAGGGTATTCTATTGAGGGAAAGAAAAATATCCAAGGCAGATGAAAGACACAATGCCATTTGGAAAGTGGTGATTCTAACACAGTGTGAAGGAGTACTCACCATGGTAATACAGATGAGGAACATCTTAGGCTTGTCATCATTTCTTTCTTCTTTTAAATAGCTTCACTGAAGAATAATGGAAAATCCAAAAATAAATACACATACAAGATAAACCTAACGTTGTGTTTTCCTACAAATGTCAAAAAACTTGGTACAGCATGATGGAGGATACCATAAAGGATAGCAACTGAAAGGTTTGTTCCCAAATTCAGAAATCTGGTAAGAAAGCATAGTGCTTTCATTGTGTTGAAACTATACCTTAGGACACAACTGAAAATCTACAGCTGTGTGTCCACAGTTCCTCCCTTTTTTTTTTTAATGGCATTTGGTTCTCAAAAGAGATGCAGGCTCTCTAGTACAATTTAAATTAAGAAACACATGCAAACAGTAGTTGCAGGCTGGTTTGAGACTAGTAGAACCATATAACTGTATTCACTTTTTATGCACAAGTTCCAGTATGTTCATGAGCCAGTAATGATTCTTATTTAATGTGTGTCTTTATCAGTGTGTACTCTTGATCATTTTGTGAAAATAGATTAGATGTTTAACAACATTTCAAATACATAATAAAGCAATTTGAAGAATAGCTGTAGTCTCTCTTTTTTAAAAGATAGCTGTAAGTTTTTGTTGTTGTTACACATACATTTGTTACCTGTTTCTTTACTGCATGCTGGAAAAATGTAGCGGGTTTCCCAAACATGAAAGAAAAAATACTATAACATATTCCACAATCAGTCCAGACCAGTCTTTGTCCAGTAAATCCTGTCAGAAATTTAAATCCAAAGTTCACAAGGACAGATTTCGGAAGGGATCTCTTTAACTTCCCCCAAAATGTGACCAAAAATATATATATGGGAAAAAATATGAAGACTATAGTTCTGAGCCCTCACCCATGGTACAAGAGGGGTTATTCTGGAATAATAGGAGTCTGCCTTTCTGGAGACTTAAGTAAAATTATAAAAGGAAAATTCAAACAGTTGCTTCAGACAGTAAGGAAGGCTTTATTCAAGACTATTGCAATGGAATGGGAACTATGGAGTGGAGAAAATGGACTTCACTCTTTACACAGCAAAGACAGTTGGAAATTCAGAGCCCCTGAACAGAGGTGGAGTCAGTGGGCAGGAAAATTCTAAGAGGACCTTGGTTTGATATCAAGGGTAGGGCACTTCTTGCTAAGCTGGCTCGTTAGTATTTTGCTAATAACTGCCTAAAGATAGATATTAAGGGGACAGGGGACTTGGTCAGATACCAAGGTGTGGGATATTGGTGGAGCCCATAAACTGATTTAGCAGGATGATTCTCTGTTAAAGTCAAGCTTAGAGGGATAAGGTCAAGCCCTATTGAGAAGGAGGCTCAGAGGGTCCTGACTAAAGTTTGGGAAAAGAAGTCTTTGTCAATGCAGAAAAGAGATAAAGTCAGTTCACTGGTATTATGACTATTTATAGAGTCCACTAAATGCAGGCATCCTCTGGCTTTGTGTAGGAGCTTGGAGACATGGATCTCCTTCTGCACTGTCTGTGCCTGTGAACAATCTGAATCCTGAAAAATGAACGAGCGTCAAACAATAATAATAATGGAGGGGGTGTGAGAAGCTGAGCATATACATATGAAAGCAAGGGTTGCTGGTCAGATGAAAATAAAAAGTGTGAGTGGAAAAGTGCTGGAAATGTAGCTGGATTAACATGCAAAATAGATTTTGGGAAAACAAGGTAAATCAGAATGCAGACCGTACTTACTGATCTTGAGGATAGAGGTAGGACATACCACCGCTGATCAGTATAAGGAGTTGTAAGGGTGTGGAGTTTGGAGAAGAGATTAGATGTTCACTTTAAGACAAGTTGAGTTGGAGGTGATGACAAAATATGTAAATAAAATCCTGAAGTAATATCAGTCCCGGAAAAGGATTGGCATTCGTGGCCCCTGGTGAAAATTTAGGATTCATCAGCCCATGTCAACCACCTAGTCCCTGCCCTTCCTGGAGGTGGTGCACCAGCTGTGTAGGGACATGCTGCATCTGTCTATACTCGCCAAAGAGCAACCGCTATCCTGGCTTGAGCGCCTCTCGTGGATCAAGTGCTCCCCTTTCTTTTCTTTCTTTTTTGAGGGGAGGGTCCTTTACTCTTTATTAATGATCTCTGCCTGATAGATGTGGAAGTTGGCCTGCTGGGTTATTAAAAAGTCTCAGCCAAGGCCAAATGGAGAGTAAAGTTGGGATCTGGATTTAAAATAAGGTCTGTCGGGATGATGGGAGTCAGAGCCCATGTCTTCACTACCTTGCCTTGCTGCCTTCAATGACTCCTCCCCCTAGAGTCCCTTCTCCTGTCAAGACATCTACACCCTGGAGAGGAGTAAGTGGTCCCTCAGCAGTGGCTGGAGTAACTTGAAGCTATTTTCTGGTATAACCCTTAGGCCACAGTGGTGAATGAGTTTCCATATGATGTGCTCTAGGCCACCACAGTGGGGAAACATCTAAAGAGGCAGAAGAGCTCTACCACTGAGCTGCTTCCCAGCCCCTACTCTACTCTGTTGAGCTTCCATTTTTCATTTGTCATCTGAAAATACAAAGAAGGCCAACTTTTTATTTCTTTATGCATTTAAGACAAATTCATTATTTACTATATGTCAGTCTCTTGATTTATTTGGGCCAGGATTATAAAGAAAGAATTGAGATGTACATGAAAACCCATAAAATCCAATGGGCTATGCTAGCTCCAGCTAATTGTTATTGCAAAAAGGATTATTATACTTCCATATCCCAGTCTTAGAAATAAAAATATTTGATTGGAGCTGGAGCTCAGTGGTAAGCCATCTTGCTTAGCAGGCACAGGTCCTGGATTTGATATTCAGCACTGCAAATGGAAGGGAAAGGAAGGGGAGGAAAAGGGGAAGGGGAAGGGAAGAAAAAGAGAGGGAGGGAAGAAGAATGGAAGAGAGTAAGGAAAGAAGGAAAGGAGAGAAGGAGAGAGGGAGGAAGATGGGGAGGGAGGGAGGAAGAAAAGGAAGGAAAGAAGGAAGGGCAGGAAGGGGGAGGGAAGAAGGGAGGGAGGGAGAAATTTCTAAAGCCAAATTCCTGTTTGAATAGAGAAAGGGTCCTTTCTGCTAAATCCAGTTCCTTGCTGGATGGACATGATGTGAATGATACCACGCTTTGACTTGAATACGTTTTCGAGGCTCAGAAAACCAGCAGTTAAAATTCTAGGTAGAACAGCACCCACAACACATCAACAGAATATATTTATAATAATTCAGGGAAGGTGAAAATTTATAGGAACCCCCTAGTGTCAGAAAACGTAAGGGCAATAATTATATGTGTTGGCATTTATAATGGTATTCATCATAACTAGGTTAACATTGAGAAAACTCTTAAGTGTTGTGTCAAGACTTTCTATTCACGAGATATCTTTATTTCAATGGAGAATTTTTGTTATCAATATTATTCCTATTACTAGGAGTATACTTTATTGGTTCTTTCCAGCCTGATCATTGAGGCACAAAGTTTAGCATTGTTTGTGAAACTTGGCAGCTCATTATTCTGTTTACTCAGAAAAATATTAAATGGCAGTATGACAGAAAGGTAAATGTTGTAATACTGAAAATAATTATATTTACAGCAATTGTCAAAAGTGAATCTAAGTAACAAAATCTAAAACAAAATTTATTTATAGCAGCCCTGAAGCTGGAACCCAGGGCATTCTGCATGCTAAGCAGCTGGTCTACCATTGAGCTGCTTCCTCAGCCCCCACATGTAATATTAAATCTGGTTTTACATGAATTTAATTTCTCCCCTACAGCTACACTGACAAAGTGTTTTGTCTTGCAGGGCAATTGTCTGTAAGGAAGAGAGTGTAACTGATTAGGGTATTAGGGCTGGTTTTATTCACAGGTTTATATCATTTCCTGATTTGCAAATGTCTCTTGTTGGAAGCTGTCAACAGAGCTTATTTGTATGGTTCTCTTCACACTAAGGGGACCTTTCCCAATTCCTATTCTCTTCTGTTGTTTTAAGAACTTTCACAGACGCGAGTATGCCCACAGGTAACAGGAAACCAGTGTTTCAAAGGAAACCGGATCACACTGGCAGGTAACACAGGCATCCTAAACAAGTGCGGGAGTGCCTGGAGCCTTCATGCTGCTGCCAGAAATGCATATTTCGTTGATTGGTAAGAACTGGCAGATGACGCATCATGAAATATAAATGCAAGAAAGGTGCAGAGCTCAATAAAACCTGCCACCCAGCAGTCTAGGAGGATAGGAGAAAGAAAGTTAAGCAGCCATAGGATATGGCTCTGGGAGTTCCAGTGTCAGTCTATCTTTTCTTCAATGGTAGGTCATTTCCTTTTTGTTTAATTAACTTTGTGTCAGTGTTAACTGTAAATGGAATTTAATTTATCTGAATTAGGAGAAAAGCTGCCCAGCTGCTCACAACAAAGATCACAGCAAGGAATCTGTGGGGTAATTTAGTTTCTTAGGAAATGTATGTTCCTCTACTGAAATATTTTGATTCATCTTTTTTTAAGAACTCCCAAAATGTTTGCTTTCTACAAAGAATGTTGATAGCATTTTCCCACTGTAGTACAGTAGAGAAGTACTTTAATTTAATTGATGTGTAAATGTATTTGCATTCTCTTAAAAATTACTGTGTTTCTATTTCTTATAATTAGAATGTAGTCAGTGGAACAGCTGAGAAACAGCTGGAAAACTCCCCTTGTTAGGTTTTGTAGTTCAAATGTAATAAATTAAAAACAGAATGGAAAATGGGAATGAACAGAATGAGAATAACTGGGTCCACTGTTGCTACCTGGAAAGAGGCTCACCTGTTCAGGCTGCCCCTCCCCTCTGTGCAGCACTGACCGCCCTGACCACTGAGGCCGACTGGACCAGGACATCCCCAGGCACAGCCCCCCAAAGCAACAGGACAGCTAACAAGACCCAAGGTACTGTATCCCCGTCTTGATATTCCGAGTGTCTTCTTTAAAACCTTTGTCAGAAATTTGGATTGTGATAGAAGCAATGGTGGAAATTTTTAAGTATATATTTTATTAGATTATCAGCCCTTTTATTTAGCAAGATGGTGTAAGTTGAAGTGACAGATGTGTTAGCCGAAAAATGCCATTTTCGAGAGAGGAAGCGAAACGAGTGACAAAAGAGCTGCCTCCAGTGGCTGTCCGGCGTGTGACAAGTGCTCTTCCTGCTGGCTCTCGGCTTGGCTGGGAACCGTGTGCCTTGTGATGGTTCCCCGCCCTGTGTGGCATTCTCGATGACAGAAAGATAGCCATCTGTGACTACACACTTAGCAACCAAGCAATTCCCCTCATCTTTGGAAAGGTCTTTTTCTTGTTTGTTTTTGGGGGACCTTTGTTGTTTCAGCCAATGCTCCATTTCCTAACCACGATGCCCAGTTTTTGTTGTTGATGGTGATGCGTTATCTTCTTTCCTATTTTATTATTATTACTATTATTAGTAGCTTCTGACTGCTATTGAGTGTCAACACTGCTTTCAAACCTGCTTGAATTGGGGCAACCTTGGAAAAGAAAGCCTGCTGCCTGTCAAGACCTGTGCCTGAGCGGTGATGATTCTCATGGGCTCGCACAGTGTGCTTCGTGTGGTGCCCTGTAGTGTGACAGGGGCAACCAGATTTTTGTCCTCAGAGCCCAGCAAACAAAAGATCAGGTCAAATATTTTGTTTCCAAATATGAAGTAATACTTAACCGTTCTTCATTTCACCAGAAAGGAAACATTTTAAGCAGCTTAAAATATTTTGCCCACTTGATTTTTTTTAAGTATCAATCTGCAAAGCAAAATCAGTGTGAGCTTTAAAATAAGTTTTAGCCAACTTCTTCATGTTTTCTGAGCTTTTCAGTGAAGCAGGAACATTTTTATTAGAATATGATCAGTAATATTGTAGAAAGATGAGAGAGGTGTGATTTCCACATGTGATGGATGGCATACCATGATCCCCAGTGCTAGCTTTTACCTTCCTGCAAATAAAATTTTCCAAATTGCTCACAATAGGAATGGGAAAAAAGGGACTGAGTGTGTCACCTCTATTTTTCCTTTGCTTTCTTAGTAGAGAACTTTAGCTCCTCCTTTTGGTTTATATTCTTAAAAATATGACACCAGCATCTAAGAAAAATTTTCATAAAGTTATAACTAATATTTTTCAAAGGGGAAGGATGAGTCCTTCTTGCATATGCTTTCTTGGGACATGGCTTCTTTTAATCCTCACATTTTCTAGCAAATCTTGTTTCAGGCTTGGTTACTTGTTCAGTTTAAATTAAAAAGAATTCAGCATGGCTTCTAGTGGAAAACTCTCACTGCCTCAGAATTATTAAGATGATAAATTTGTCATGCCATATTCAACAAAATGAATGTGGATTTTAAAGTAATGTTGTGTCTTCTCATGCCGGGGATTTAGCCCAGTGGTTCTTCTGCTGCCTGGCCCGCAAGTGCAAGGACCTGAGTTCGATCCCCGGTACCAAAAAAAAAAAAAAAAAAAAATTGTGTCCTCTCAAAGTGAAGATACAACATAGGGCCAGGGATTTAGCTCAGTGGTTCTAGCGCCTGCTTTGCAAGCTGAGGACCTGAGTTCTATCCCCAGTACCAAAAAAAAAAAAAAAAAAAAAGTAAGTGAAGGTACAACATAGTCTCTTGTTGGTAATTTAGTACCTAAAAATTTAGCATTTTCAATATAAAGAAGAATACCTTTATCTGTTTTTCTCTAAAAGCAAATAAGTAGGATCATCTTAACCCCTTTGGCAAGGCAAATACAGTGTTACAGCATAATAGCCATAATGAAGAGCTAGAATTATCTATAGCAATGACAAAATAAAATGCCATTAATTCTGATTGAGAAAAATTTAAGAATTCATAATTAAAATATACCAAAAAGGGGCACTGGATTTAGCTCAGTGGCACTACGCCTGCCTCGAAAGTGCAAGGTCCTGAGTTTGATCCCCAGTACCAAAAAATAAAATTAAAAAATAAAAAATAAAGAAAGGAATCAATTCTCCAGTTCTACACAAACGCCTTTCCTCTGTGTAAACACCAAAGACAGGACAGGTATGTCTTCAGTACACCAGAGATCCTGAGCAGCCTCCTAAAACTATATTTGCCTAAACACCCTTTCCTGAAGAGCTTCCCATAGGAGGTTTCTGGACATTTGACTCCAAAAGTTACATTCCGCACTGACTATTTGCATAGTGTTAGAGCTAGAAATAAAAATCCCAAGTCCACAGATTCTACCACTGCTTCATAGTACCACTTAATTGAGTGAAACTTTAATTGCTATTCAAAGGTATTATCATCAGCTAGGTCTGGTGTCTTGTGTGGGTCACAGCAAGCCCTCTTCTGAAGTCATCAGGGAACTTGTCTTCTTTCAACTAGCACCTCGGGGAGGAATTCACATCACTCTTTCCACTGGGAGGAAAAAGATCGAAGTTTACTATCCCATTGGTGTAAATCCAAATCTTGCTAACTGACTACAGAGTGTAAGGGGAGGAAATGCAGAGATGATGTGAAAACTGCTATCTTTATTAGCACTCACTCTGAGCACTGCTCAAAATGACCTGCTGAGCCCAGAGCCAATGCTGCCACCTTTTGGCAAACCTGCCTCCATGCTTGCAGTGTGACTTCTAAATGGTGGACCAGTTATCAACCCATCCCATGCTCTGATTAATAAATGATCTGTAGAGAAGACATGAACCCAACCCTGCCAAAGGAGTCAGTAGTCCAAAGGACCAAGCGCTCCCCCAAACCCTCATATTAAGGGTCTCTTCACATACAATAGACAATTTATCATGAAAGCTGGACACGCTTCCTCCATTCACATGTATCTCCTTTTCGTAGTTGATTCTGTGGAAGGACCCATTGCCCTGAGGTTCTCACACCCCTGCCTGGAAGACCACAGCAGCTACTGCATCAATGGCATGTGTGCCTTCCACCATGAGCTGGACCAGGCCATCTGCAGGTAATGCAGAGCCTACCCAGGCTGCAGGCAGAAGGGGCTCTCTGCCTGGGTCTTCAGCAGTGGCCTCCGTATTCCGCTCTTTGTCTTGTAGAAATGGTGGTTGATCTGGACATAACTTACCAGCCCTCTTGAACCTGAATATCTTAGGAGTCTTTTCCTAAACTACTTAATTCCCATTACTCAAAAATGTAATTCCCAGGTTGGTAGATCTGCATTTTTAACATGAAAAGGTGGTTCCTAGTTTTCACAGGATTGTTTAGGATAAAGTTTAACAGTCTAAAACAAAAAGCTTTTTGTGAATCTAAAGTTCTGAAATAACTAAGGTACATTTTTATAATGGCTGACTTGCTCAGTTTGCTTGACAGTTCAATCCCTGATACCAAAAAAAACCCCAAAAACCCACAAACACCCCCCCAGTATTTGCCTCTTTAGTTTAAATTACTTTCTATGGGGTGGGGTAGGGAGTACTAGGGATTGAACCCAGGGCCTTTGTCCTGAGCTGCCTTACTAGCACTTGTTATTTTTGTCTTTGAGACAGGGTCTAACTGAATTGCTAAGTTGCCCAGGATGGGCATGAACTTGTGATCCTCCTATTTCAGCCTCCCAGAGTGCTGGGGTTACAGGTGCAACTCCATGCCTATTTTTTTCTTATTCTTTGAAATATATTATTTTTACACTTCTATCAAAGAGTTTATAATGATTTATCCTCTTCTCTTTTTAAAGGTGTTACACTGGTTATACTGGGGAAAGGTGTGAGCACCTGACCTTAACTTCATATGCTGTGGATTCTTATGAAAAATACATTGCAGTTGGGATTGGCGTTGGACTACTACTAAGTGGTTTTCTTGCTGTTTTTTACTGCTACATAAGAAAGAGGTATGAAAAAGAAAAATTATGAAGTCAGTCTGTATGTGTTCATTTGACAATACTTATTGAGCCCCTACCAGGCCTGGTCATAATAGTTTTTTAATGAAAAAAGCAGTGTAAATCTGAGAGATTCCTTCATAATATTTTTATTTCTTTTCTCATAAACCCAGAAAAATGGTAATAGGATTCCAGTAGCATATTCCAAATTCACAATTTCCCTCCTATTTTTGTCTGCCTAAGTCAAAATTATAAAAAAAGGAGACAGCAGGCCCCAAGAAATTCAAAACTAAGCATGTCTTGCTGTGATTATATATTTAGCGTCTAATTTTATGCCTTACACATAAGAGACAGAGTAAATATTTGTTAGGCAAAAACAAAACTCAAGAAATGAGTGTTAAATGAAAATGTATGGCAAACACAGACTGCTTTCTCCCCAAACTTCAATTGTGGGAATCTTCGGAAAATATCATCTACTACTAAACCTCAAGATGATGAACTTGATCTACAAATAAGTATAAGCTACTTATTTCTAGTTTCTCCACGTTCATGATTATTCCCTAAGTCCATGTAAGTAGGAAAAATGCAGGAAATAATTGAGACACATTAATTTTTAAAAATACAAATACATTCCCCTTGCTGTTAGTAAGTTGTCACTTTCAAAATGACTAAAACTGCCTGTCCAAATCTAGAAAAGTTTGTTTTGCTTAACAACTAATCTTAGAGAAAATCGAACCTATACAGTATTATATCAAGTGCACATTTGTTGAAGAGACCAAAAATAATAATGAGAAGAGGAAGAGGTGCAGGAAAGACCACCTGACATACACAGCCTGCCTCAGGGCAGGCTCCCGGAGCAGAGCCTGGGGTGGGGTGAGGGAGCAGTGGCAGAAATAACCATCTTAGGGAGTTGAGTTCCTTCCTTTGCAATTATGTTTCTGCCACATAATTCAACCTGTAATAGCAGAAGGAAAGCAGGTAGAGGAGCAGTGTGGCTGGGCCTGAAATTGACCCTCTGCCCAGTTGCACATAAGATCTAGGGTATGAATGGTGTCACTGGCCTGTTCCAATAGAAGAGCAGTCTTAGATTTAGTCAGTCGTGAGCCACAAGAGCCCATGGGGTGGGGTTGGGGTGTGATCTCCCAGAACTCTCCTGGTGGGATGTGAAACAGTGAGGGGTGCAACTCAGGAGAAGGATGTGAGCCTGCGGATGCCACAGTCATGAGGGAGGGGAACTGGGTGAGGTGCCACATGCAGCCACTACAACAGTGCATGGGTGAATCCACAGTGATCAGTGTGAAACTGCTGTTCTCTTTTAGGTGTCTGAACCTGAAATCTCCCTACAACATGTGTTCTGGAGGAAAAGAACCACTGTGAGGCCTTTGGAAGACATCGTCATTGAGTCTTTTGTGAAAACCTATGGGCCTCAAATTGAAATCAAATGAAAAAATGCCAAACCTACTAGACTTGAAAATGATGGAAGCTGGGATCCTAGTGATGTGATCGGATAAAATTCAACACTCATTTCCAGACTTTGCCACCCTTGGGTGCCGTGGAGCCAAGTGCACAAACTCTAAGGGCAGAATTCAAGTGCCTGCTCCCTCTGTGGGTATGTGGTGCGGCTATTGTTCTCACTGCAGAAGAACTGTCCATGCTTCTGACCATGTCAGAGGTGACTCTTCCTGGTAATAACTCAGCCTCACAGCAGACCAAAGCAGTGCCAAGCATGAGCTGTTCGTGTGCTTGCTACTCACCATTGTGGATCATTTCTGTAGACCAGCTTTGTGTCTGTGCTCTCCCAGGACCTAATCCCAAGCTTTCTGCTTTCATGGTACTGAAATGATTCAGTGTCAACTTTTAGGATGAGATCAGTGTTACAGTACCTCCAGCGAATTGAGTATGGGTCTTGAGCCACTGAAAAGAAACTGAAATGCCCAAGGGAAGCACAAACCACTCCCAGCTTGTGACCACACCATGCAGCCTTTATCTTGGAAATATGGAATAAGCTAAAGAGATTCTGGGGCCTGAAAGCTATCCAGATGTCAAGTCCAGAGCAAGCAGAGCACTTGTGTTTCTGTATAGATCATGGAGCTTTCTGTTCGGCCCGTTTCTCCCATAATGCTTTGCCACTTCCTCTTGAACAGTTTCCTCCACAGCGATGGTGGAATTACCAGGTAGCTGTCCGTTTGGACTGAAGTCCTGGACTATCCTAATGATGAAAAATCTACAATTGTCATGAAACAGAAACTGAAGAACTAGATAAAGGAACTTTTTCACCAGTTAACAACATGTGGAAACGTCTGTATTTCTGAACCCTTGTAACAGATTTGGACAGAGGAAAAATGAAGCAGTGGTAGAAGAAACTACGGGGAATCAAATTCCTTCCTTTTTAATTCTATTTCTGAGGGGCAGGGATGTAGCTCAGTGACACTGCACCTGCCTGGCAAGCGTAAGGTCCTGAGTTTGATTACCAGTACCAAACCAAACAAACAAGCAAACAAAAAAACAAGAATCAATTCTATTTCTGCCATATAATTCAAATAGTCTGTGCAAGTTCCTTAATTTCTTTGGGCTTTGGATTTATTTTCTATAAAACCCTTGTACCTCTAAACTTTGATAGTGGGAGAAGCAAACAATGATGTGTGTGCCTCAGGTGAGATTATTCCCCATACTTCCATGTCCAGCGTCACTTCCAGCCCCAAAGCACACCACTGACTATCAATCTTAGGTGTAGATTTTAGTGTTCCCTTTGTAAAATAGTAATTTATTTTAAATGAAATGAAAGAAATTTAACAGCTACCATTTTTCTTATTGGAGTCAATCTAAAACGACAGACTCTTTTTTTTCTTCTTTACTTTTTTTTTTTTTTTTTCCAATTTGATGCACTTTTGATGATGGCTTGGTTAAAGAGGGCCAGACTTGAATGTTCTTATATCCATAGTCTGGTAACAAGCCTTTCATTTCCATGAACTTTAGGTTTTCCTCAGCCCTTTGAAAGGTGTACATTCTACTTTCCTTTCCTTGTTTCTCCTTCAAAAAGAATTTAATGCAGATGAGTGGTTTGTCAGCACTTTCTGGTGCCCTCCACCTTCTGTAAAGGTTACATCAGGAGGGTGGGGAGGGAACGTTCCTTCCAGTGACTCCTGCAGCCACACCTAGAAAGCTATGCACTTCCTGGACATTGCAAAAAGATGTAAAAGAACCTGGGAGAGTCGGGGAGAAACTGTAAAGGCCTGCTTTTAATTAACTAATGAGGGAGAGAAGAATTAATGATGGAGTCTGCAAAGGATACACACAGCCAGTCCTGAATACTTGGTGTCAGTGTTTGCCAATTTTAAACACAATAAATTGAAATTAGAACATTTGACAAAGAATTAAAATTCCCAGGTTTCTAAATCAAAATGTTAACCAAAACAATATAATACTCAATTTTGTGTACCTATGGAATGTTCATTAACAGTATGAAATCGACTCAGGGAGACTGTCCAGACACAGAGTACAGCTCATGAAAGCCATTGGTGTATGGCCTGTCACAGGAAATCATCCTGTGACCCCAAGATTGAATCATCTTTAATGCCCAGGGTTAAGTTTGCAGGAGGAATCTGGCGCATTGCAGTGGAGCCGGGCCACATCTGGCAGTGCTTGTGTATGTATGCGGGACTTGATGAGAAAATGTTTCACTACAAGATGGGCTGCACATGGTTTCATTTTCTATTTTTTTCCGATATGCAATATGACCCTGAAAAGAGCCAACTAGTTAGTCCTTGCATCAGAACTGCACTTTCAGCTATCAATCAAGGGTGATTAAGTTGAGTGGATCATGTAACAATGAAATGATGACATATTTCTGGCATCTTTGACTAAATCAAACTACCCAAGGAATCCATCAACTTCTTTCACTCCCCTTTTTGTCTCCTCCCCATGTCTATCCCTTAATTTGCTGAGAGCACATTCTTATGCCAGCAGTATTCACCGGTGAATCACTGGTTAGCACTTTGGAGCATGATGGGGTGGGGGCGAACACCATTGTCTCTGCCATAACTGAGCCAGTGAATGTACATAAAAGGAGTTATAACTGCTTATCGTTGTATCTTCTTTCCCCAAATTACCTTTTGGTATAGCCATGTTTTCATTAAGTTTGCAGAGGGTAAAGTTGTAACATAGTCCATTTTTAGTGTTTCAGTGCAGGTCTAATCCTTTGATTTTGACATGTCTGTTGTGATAACATCAATAAGTTTTCCATTCATTATATTTAGTTGAAAAAACTGCCTTAGTGTTAACAAGACAGATACCAGAAATGTAAGCTTTTGATGTTCAACACAAGAAGAATTCACATATGCAGAGGATTCTGAGGAAGCCATCTAACCTCTCTGCCTTACAAAATGTGTCCTGCTTTCTGAGTGCAATGTAAATATTGATATTCTGCAGCCCACACTCCTGGGAAGGGCTATCAGAATCTATTGCAAAATACCACTCTTTCTGGCTTACATCATGGCTCCATGACATCAGGTCTGAGCACCTGCCAAGATGAACTAGAAGTGTTGAAATTTAATTTGTCAGAATCTGGCACTGCTAATCGGGATGAGTCCACATCTCTGTCCAAGCTTCAGCGCAGGTCTATTCAGTAGCATATTCAGAAGCCTACCCTTCAAATTTGGTATGAAACTTCTGCTAGTTAGTTAACCAATCGATGCCTACTCCAGAGTGACAAGAGCCTGAGCAATCAGTTTCTTAAGGATCCCAAGGCTAAACCTTGAGACTAGAGTATCATGTTAAATAAAAAATGAAGTGTCCCATCACAGTATTTGACTCCTCTGCCCAGACTAACGTGATGTACTTTCCAGATTGTGGGCAACACCTGCAGCTTATGAAGAAACACTCCACAACACAGGAATGTGACTATATGATAACAAGGAGAACTGAGCTGTTTAGTCAGGTCTTATCCAAACACCTCATGGCCTTTCTTTGTCATCTGTATGTCTCAGATATTGGAGCATAATTCATCTAAATTGAAATTTGGCCCAGACCAAGGAGCTACCAAACTAATAGTGCTTTCAGCCTCTAAGAAGATGTCAAAATGAAGCTTCGTATCTTTCTGAAAAGAATGGCATCTCTAGATCTTTAAAATGGCAAAAAATATATTGATTTGAAGCAACACTGTAACAGCTACCATTTATGAGCACTTATGCTTTTTGAAAATACTGTTCACATCATTTTAATTAATCCCCACCTGTGTGTAATTGAGGTGTAGCGATGGCAATTCCCTTGTTCAGCATCCCATGGTTTTTAAGTGGTGGAGCCAGAACAAGAACCAGGTAGATCCAATTCCAAAGCCTCTCCTCTATGTTCTAGAGGAGTCCAAAATGCCTCACAATATTTAAAGGGAAAATATTCATGTTGTGAGTTAATTTCTTTGTGAAATTAGCAATGTACCCAAGTGATCTGATCCGTATGCAGATGGGAAATTCTTTCCTTGACAATATATAAAACAACCTTTGTCATGGTTCAACCACAAAAATTTCCCGCTGTCATCTGGAGATTAAGATATGCATTTCATCCCTTGGGTGGAGCCTGCAGGGCTGAGTGCAGATGCAGAGACCTTGAGCTGTCAGTAAACTCTGACCTGTGTCCTCAGGACTTGGGCATGAGGGGGACACACCAGAATACCCCACCTTGGGTGGACAGGGCTCTCTGGCACTGTGTGACCTCACTGGGACACACCTGGCCAGAGTGGTGACAGGAGAAGGTGTGAGGCACACAGGTGAATTTCCTATCTGCAGTCAGACCTCAGTAACTCCCTCCTCTCTTTTGTTGTACACTGGCCCCGTGTGGGCTTTGGAGAGAAACAGAGAGTGCAGATCGTTGAGCTTAGGGTAAAAATTGAAGACAACTTTCAAAGTCTATGCAGTGGATCGACAGTCAGATGATCTGTGCTCTAATACAAGTGTGCTCTTACCCCTGTGTGGCCCTTTGGATCTGACAGTCTGTTGAGTGGAGAAGTTAGAATCTGAAGATGACTCCACATTCTCCACTGGTGGGACGGTGTGTGTTGAAAGCCTGAAGCTTATAAGCAGATCCAGAGCACAGATCTCTGATGACTCTCATGATGTTTGATTTAAATCAACCCCACATTTAGAAACCGAGATGTCTTACTATAAATATCTAGCTTCCTTTGAAAAACAAAAGATATAAAACACTGCCCTTATCTGCTCACACATCAAAGACTGTGTCTTTGACACCTAGCCAGCTTCCGCATCTCAGACCACCAATTCTGGGTTCCTTTCTAAGCCTGCAAACTTGGTTCATGGGTAATTTTAAGATCTTTGCTCATTTAAATTCTAATGAAGCTAATCACCAAGGTGCCTATAGGGGGCCCTGTTGTACCGCAAACCTCTCCTCCCGCGAAAGACTCAGATCAAAGAGTAGCCCAGGAATGCACTCTCAGGAGAACCCAGACTCATCTGGAAGCTGGCAGACTGGCACCTGTTGACTCAGACTCTGCCCTGCCCACACCCCCAGCCACTCTCTGCTCCAGCCCTGGCCAGCTTTGCCCTCTCAGCACACCACCCTGGCAGGTCGCCTCTCAGAACGATACAGACAGATCTTGACTGCCCTGTGCTCCCCTTTAGTAAGGACACCAAAAGGCTCTCCTAGGCTTTTGTGGTCACTCTTCCCACCTTGCCCTGCCATCATCCCTTTGGCAAGGAGGGTACTCTGCTCCCTGGGGGACTCTGGGGTGCTTGTCTGTGTGTCAGCCTCCCTCATCAAGGGCTGCCTCCTTCTTGAAGAATGTGTTACTTACAGATGTCATGGCTTCCTCCTTTGAACGCCCTAAGCATGCTTTTCTATTAACCTTTCCAGAGATATATTCATTCTGCCACACGTTATGATTATTAATGTTCTTGGCTAAGTTCCAGTGGTAACAATTAAAACAGACTTCATTCCTTAAATTCACAGCATAGATTGGGTACAGTGCTAAGAAAAGGGTACATACACAGTGTCCCTCAACCCGCCAAGAGCCAGGGGGAAGGTTTGATTGGGAGTATGGCAAATCATGGTTAACAAGAGCGTCTAGAATTTAACCCTCTGAGGCTTAGCTCCAGGCGTGCCCAGCCCCTTCCTGTCCTCTCCTCATCAAATTCCTTTTCTAAGATCAAAATTTGCCATTTGTAGAGCATCTGAAATGAAAAGACACTTCTTATATGAAGAAGTAGAAACAGCAAATAAATATATGAAAAAATGTTCAACATCACTGGTCATTCGTGAAATGCAAATTAAGACAACACTGAGATTCCATCTCACTCCACAAAGAATGGCTGCTATCAAGAAATCAACCAATAAAAATTGCTAGAGGGGCTGTAGGGGAAAAGGAACCCTTCTCCACTGTTGGTAGGAGTGTAGACTGGTGCAACTAATGTGGAAATCAGTGTGGAGGTTCCTCAAAAAACTAAAACTAGAGGTTCCATTTGACCCAGCTATTCCTCTTCTTGGTATCTTCCCAAAAGAATTAAAAGCATCACACCACAGTGATATATGGACACCCATGTTTATAGCAGCACAGTTTGTAATAGCTAAATCTTAGAAACAGCCCAAATGCCCATCAACTGACAAATGGATAAGGAAGATGTGGGTTTTTTATACAATGGAGTACTACTCTGCCATAAAAAGGATGAGTTTCAGAGATTTCTAGCTAAACGGATGAACCATGAGACCATATTCGTAAGTGAAATAAATCGGACATACATGTGTAAGAAACTGAAAGTGGAAAAAAGGACTAAAATGTATAATAGTTATTGGGAAATGGGAAGAAAATGTTCAAATAGGAAGGGGAGCAAGGGAGGAGGGAGGGAGAAAGGAACTAAGGGACAAGAAAAAAAGTGAAAATAGAAGGAAAAATGGAAACAAAGCTTTTGTACATAGGGAGGGGAGAAGGGAATGGGAAAAAGTAAAATTTAAATTTAAAAATTTGCCATTTGTAGGAAGAGGATATCTGTGCCTCATACAATGTTTGAGCATAATAAGTGCTCAATGAATGTCAGCTTTTTTACTGTGGTTGTCCCCTATTCTTTCTAGGAAACTGAAATGTAGAAAGTCCAAGTTATTTGTTCAGGACACCCCTCTGGTACATGGCAGAGCTTGTATTTGACCACAGGGCTGTCCGGTTCCAGGCCCTGTGGTCTTCCTTAGTGAGAGGCAGGTGAGCCTCTGGTGCTGGCCTCACTGGACGGGGCGCACTCAGCAGGGTTGCACTGTGACCCATGTTGTTAGATGTGGGGTCCGTGTTCTAACTCCAACTCTTTTCTACACTTGTGATTGAAGATGAATAATTTAACCCTTACAAGACCCAGTGGGATCATTTTAGGATCAGTTTAACTCAGATAGCTAATGTATATAGACCCAGCGGCCACCCAATGAATATTACTTATTATTATAATTACTAATCATTTGAAACTCTTCCATAGAGTCAATTTTAGTATACGGAGGTTGTTTCTAGAAATTATCATACTGCACACCTAAGGGGAAAAAACCCCAGGGCTTACTGGAAGATTGAGGTTGGGGGAAAACACTTAAAAACATCATCAGTAACACATTAAAAACAAGCAAAAGGAAACCCAGTAAAAATGGCGACATGATCTTACACATTATAGATGGCTGAGACAGACAAAAATAATCCAATAAATATGGCCCTTTATCTTGACAAAGACCAGAAGTTGGCTGGGGCAAGTGGGTGCGAGCAGAGCAGTGGCTTGTGGGTGACTGTCAGATGGTGGTGGGAGAAACAGTGGCACTGCATGGAGTGAGGAGGCAGCAGATGGGACCAGCGTGGCACCTGGTGCACGGGTGTGAGTGCCGTGCATGTGTGTGCTTGGGGTGCACACCATTCCGCTCAAGTCTCTCACACCCATCTAGCGTTTCTCTCAGATGGAATCTCACATAGACAAACACAGGATTCCTGTCATGTGCAAACCATTCCCTTATGTTGGAATAAACTAAGTTTTCAAAATGAGCATTAAAACAGAGCTGTCTCTTGAAATTATCACCTTTTTTGGACCTTAGCCTCAACTTTAATTATGATTATT